CTAATATAAAAGCGTACTTTAATAGGAGTATAGCTAAGAAAGAATGATTTTGCTGAAAAATTTAAAAGTTTTGCTAAATATTCTTCAACAGAATTAGCTAAACGTCATTTGATTTCAGCAGCAAATTTTTTTTGCTGTATCGCCTAAATTTTAACAACTAATAAATTTAGCTTTGACAATAACGATATTAGCTATGTTCCTATTTTTTATAAAGACACACGTTAGCTGCCACGGCTATATTTTAGCTCCATTTGCTAATCCTTTCTCTGCGTGTCGTGCCACGTTATCGTATTATTTCTTTATCGGTGGCTGATCCGTCACTAATTAATTGTTAGAATAACGGCACAAAAACTCGGTTTAATCAGAAAATTAAATGCGCCTGTGAGACGCGTGAATTCCATCGGATGGTTCATGCACACTGAAAAAAGTAATCTTGCAATTATAGCGAGAATTATTTAAACACGAAAAATTAGCTAAAACGGATAAGTGATTAGTAAGTACTGCGATACCATATATGTTTTGTATTTAATCAATATAGATAACAGAGACAGAAATTATATCTGAACTATTTGTCAAATTTAGCAAGAAAATTTTTCTATGAACGTTTAATCAATCCAGACTCCAATCATATTTGATTATGAGGCCATATTTTCTTGCATATATTCTTAGAATATGATTGCTATAAATTCTACGTATGACAGACAATTTTTTACAAAGTGACTATTTTGACCAATGGGATCAAAATGAAGCAAAAACTTGGCGTGCCCGAATTGTATTAATAATTTAATTGATAAGATGTATATGTATAAAGATAAAATGTATAAAAAACGGGCACGCCAAGTTTTTGCTTCACTGTGATCCCATTGGTCATTTTAGTCACTTTAAACCTGTTTTATGAAACTTAAAAATATTTGGAAAGACAATGGCATTAAACTTTTGCTGCATGTACACTTTTGGATGATTAAACGGTTTATTAAAAAGAAATTTTTGTGTCTAATCAAATACTAGGCAACTTGTATGATCTCATATTTGTTTTTGGACAATTTTTATTTGTTAAAATAATATTTTTGGTTTAAGAAGAATGTAATGTATATAATACTTTTTTATATCCTTGGCGTAATCTTTTTTTTTAAAAGAGATTTGGTAGTATTATTTGCTTCAGAATTATTATTCACGATAATAACGCCAATACTTTGTGATCTTGATATTCTAAATATGTTTGATAAATAATAGACGCATTGCGTTATTTACACTTTGTCAATAATAATTTTAAAGAGATGTAATGTATTATTTAATTTTATTAGAGATGTGCACGTCCACAACACATAAATATATATAAATCTGCAAATAAATATATTTTCAATTTTTAATTAGACCGGTTTTTAATTTCAAACTGCATTAACATAATTATATTATTACAAATGTTTTTAAAAAAAGTTTTGCAAATTGATGCGCTTTTATTAAACGCTCGTAAACGACTACTCATTTACACTGATAAGTTTTTGTTTTTGCTCATTTACTGTACTGTTGATAAGCGTCTGTCTATGACCGTACGTACTATATATAACGTAAACTATAGCTATTCAGTTCTGACAATATAATAATCAGACATGACCTTTGATCTATTAACTTTTAAGCCTCATATATTTGATTCTTTGTATTTTCTTGCATGCGAACTTGAAATTCAGCTTGTTATCTTGTTTAATTCTAGTAATTTGGTAGATTATACGCAATCTATTACAATACGACAAATTGCATTATGTGCAACAGTCTTTA